TGTGTGTGTGTGGCCAGCTCAGCCCACCAGGGGGCGGGGCTGGCTGGCATGTGGTGCTGGGGGATTGAACCGTGGTCCCTCTGCTTTGCTAAGCTTGTTCTGAGTAGGTGCTTTAGACCACTGAGCCATCTCACCAGCCTCTAGAAAGTTTTACTTTTAAGCATAAGATAAACAAATTTTCCCCCATATGAGTTCTCACATAGAATTGAGTATATTGGAAGCAGGTTTCTTGTGGAATCTCTGATGACCAGGAATCAAGATAGTAGCTCTAGGGCCGGCAAGATAGCTCAGTAGAAAGAGCGCCTGCTTTAGCAAGCTCAGGGACGAGGGTTCGATCCCTGGTCCCACATGCCACATTAGCCCCATCCCTGGGGTGCACTGACCCCGAGACCAAGTCCAGGTGCCTGTAGTTAATACAGTGCACATGCCTGTAATCCCAGCGTTAGAGAAGTTGAAAACAGGAGGATCACTACAAGTCCAACCTGCATAGGGAGACCCTGTACCAAATACATGGGGGGGGAGCCCTAAAGATAGCATTTTTTGTTTGTGGGGGTTTTGTCTTGCAATGCTAGGAGTTGAACTTAGGGCACCACTTTTTGGGGGGGACAGGATCTCCCTATGTAGTGAGACCTGGGCTTGAGCTCACTATGTAGCTCAGGCAGGCCTCAAACTGACAGCAATCCTCCTGCCTGAGTCTCTTGAGTGCTGGTTTTACAGGTGTGCACCACCATATCTGGCTAAAAAAAGAAAGAAAAGACAAGATCTCGCTACATATTCCAGGATGGCCTTGAACTCTATGTAGCCCAGGATGCTCTGAATTTGCAGCAGTCCTCCTGCCTCAGCCTCCCAAAGGGCCAGGATTATAGGCTAGACTTCTTTTATACCGGGATCCAAACTCAGGACCTTGCACTTGCTGGGCAGGTGCTTGTTCCACTGAGCTATATCCCCAGCCCCTAGACTGGTTTTAAAAAAAATTTTTTTTTAACATTTATTTATTTAGTGTGTGTGTGTGTGTGTGTGTGTGTGTGTGTGTGG